CATGGTGGAATTTGAATTCAATAAGTATCTGGACTTAAGAATCTGCTGATGACCGTGATTCGTTGTCGATTGTTGGAAAAACCCATCTGATTCACTAACGTCCTTTAGGGAAGGAAACTGCCATCCTTACCTGGTCTGACCTACATGTGAATCCAGACCCACAGCAATGTGGTTGACTCTTAACTTCCCTCTGGGCAATTAGGAATGGGCAATAAATGCTGCCTAGCCAGTGACGCTGTCATCCCGTGAATGAATAAAGAAAAAAAAAAGCTGTTATAAATGGATGTGGTCTAAGGTCTTTTATTTGTCGCTTTCTCACATGTATATTTCCCTGTACTGGTTCTCTGCTGTTAACATGTTTGATAACATAGTCAGATTGTGAGACAGCATCAGAAGAACTAATTGCTAATACTAACACATTCCTCGATTGGGAAATAGTAAGGACTGCAAATGCTGGAAGTCAGAGCCGATAAAATGTGGAGCTGGAGGAGCACAGCAGGTCAGAAAGCATCAGAGGAACAGGAAAGTCGATGTTTTGGGTCTGGACCCTCCATCTAGACTGCACCTATGTGAGAAAGCAGGATTTATAACATAGCAAATGGGATATATTTAATAGTAAATATTTATTAATAGAAAGGTATTACTAATTGCATAATTGCATAAAGTATTTGTCCAAATCCATTCTTCATAAGTTTGGCTAATTGAATGTATTGGATGCGCAGATTAAGAATGGGTACTATTGAGTTAGAAGAAACAGTCCTTTTCCTTAGGCTCTTCATGGGATCCTTGTCCTTTAACAAAAATGTTGAAATTACTGCAGATAAACTTACAAGTAATGTATATTGTAATCTCTGCAAATCATGTGTGCACTGTTTTAACATATTTGTTATTCCATTTACAATTCTCCTCAGTTTTCTTGCACTTCTAGACTTTATTTTGCTTTTGTTTACAGTTATATTTCCACTTTTACACATAGAAAAACAAATATATAACTTGCGAATAGCTAACCCCAACAAAGCTCAGCAGTATAAAGTCCTTTACAGAAATCCATCTCCTGGAATGTGGGTTTCAAATCATGGATTTCACGAACACTTTACAAACTAAATATTATATGTTTTTAATAGCAAGGGAAAATTACTGCTGCCTCTCTCCTCTACGAAATTTCCTCTAAGAAATAATTATGAAGGACAAGAGTCCCAGGGTTAAAAATTCACCTTGGTTAGGGGTGCATAAAGGGTGGCATCAGATCAGCTTGTTATATGTAGAGAAAGATATTTAAATCCATTAATAGCAGTGGGACTGATATCAAGAACACTGTATACTCAGCAAACAATGCTATACCACTGATTTTGTGTTGCCACCCATGATGTATTTCCAACCCTCTTGCATATAAGTAAGCACCTATGCACAAACCTTTTGCAGCTGGACAGAATGCAAATCATAACGTACAGTAAAGCTTCCAGCTAGCTTCACTGCACAGTCATTCAATACGTGACTAAGAACATAACCCCAGGGACAATTCAAATATAAGCAAGATAGCGGAAAGCCAGGACCACCAACTGACTTGAAGAGATTAACACAAAGTTAGATCGAGCAATGGTGATGGCTTCTGCAGTTGAATAGTTGTTTTTTAAATGTAGATAGACAATTTTGGGAGGCAGAAAGTTCCTGTTCTTCACTAATTCTGAGGTTTTGACACTTTTGCATAATCTCAGTTTCCTTAAACAAAACATATTTGGTTTCCATGTACTTTTTCACATTTCCCTGTCTTAGTCAAGCTCCATTCTGGGCTTTTGTTATCCAGACCTTCTTGGAGTTCTATACCTTGACTGTTCTTAGCCACGTTGAAACAGAGCATTCAAAGCACAAAATGGTGATTAGATTCAAATGTTCCACAAACCCAATAAGTCAATTATGACAAATTCCTTTGACATTCTTCGTCTTGTCTGTTGTCCTCTGCAAAGGTTGAATTTTCACACTTCATTTCTGTTTGCAAATTCTTGATATCTCAAGAGTCTTTATGAACCTCAGCATGTCTTTTTATAATCCACTTAGAACTTGCAGCTATAGTCAGAATCATAATGGCTTCTTTCCTATTTCTTGTGTCTGGTTAGAGTCAGATTAGTTTCTTTTACAAAGGTCTGAAATGACATAGTGCTTTTCTTCATGACACTTGGCATACATTGTTGAAGAATTGATTGTGATCCAAGTTCTGGGACGATTGTGATGGCCTAACAAATAAATATATTTGCCCTACCTGTACCTCTACCCTTATTAATCATTAATGTAATCCATCAGATATTGCTGAGTGAACCAATGGTGCAATATTTGGTAGATTCGCACATGCCCATAGAAATTCTATGGCTCTTTGTAAGATAAATTCCTGTCAGCAACATAATGCAAAACACACAGCAGCTTCTTTGGGGGATCTGGGACCAATGTCAAGAGGGTAATCAACCTCTTAGCTATTCTGATTGAAGAGTATTTACAATGCAGTTCAAAGTCTGAACCAGAAAGTGTAAATTGAAATATAAAATTCAACATCAAATCAGATACATAAAGCAAAATGAAGAGAGAGAGTGTGAGTGAGATAAGGAAAAGAAAGAGTGAAAAAAACCATATTGTAAATCTCCAACAATAAGTAAAATCTGAAGGAATGAGATGTCACACTTAACAAAAGTTCATTTTCAGTGCTACAGAAATTGTTTTGCAGCAATTAAAACTTACCACACTATTAAAAGAGTGCCCCATTGGACAAGCTGCAACCTTTTATGAGGCATGCAAAGCAACTTCTTATAGTTCAAAGGTGGTAAGAACTGCAGTGTGGAGCTGGAGGAACACAGCAGGCCAGGCAGCATCAGAGGAGCAGGAAAATTGACGTTTCCGGTCGGGACCGTTCTTAGGAAATCAGAATGCCCATTTCTGAAGAAGGGGCCCAAACCAAAACGTCGACTTTCCTGCTCCTCTGATGCTGCCTGGCCTGCTGTGCTCTTCTTATAGTTCAATGTATTTGAACGGATTCTGTCCACCAACACACACTGCCCTCAAAGTGGTTGTGAGTGGCAGGGGCTGGAAGACAGTCACACATCCCCTTCTGGAATGTGCCTGTGCAAAGAACGTCTGGACAGAGATGCAACAGTTTTTGTTGCGGTTCATCCTGAGCAGTTCCATGATGCAGGACTCTGTGTTCTACGGTCTGTTCCCTGGGATGCACACTGAGACAAACATCGACTGTGTCTGGGAGACCAATAACTCAGTGCAAGACACTTTTTGGTCTTTGGCAGGAACTTCTTGCTCTTCCGATGCAAAGAGTTGTCCTTGACAGAGTGTTGCAGACTAGCACATTCCAATGTCCAGTAGTACGTGCTGAGGGATGCACTAAAGCTTGGGGCATCTGCCGCCAAGGCACAGTGGGGAAAGACCACTGTCTGAAGTCTTTATGTCAAAATACAATGAGGGTGCATTCAATTTTCAGACCCTCTCTTTGCCTCAATGTATGTAAATAGTGTCCTGCAGGGAAAGTCAAATTCCAATGTTAGTTTGTTCTTCATATGCAAAGACAATATAGAACTGGTATAATACCTGTGTATGTACATAAAGATATTTTTTATGAATAAAATACATTTTTGCTTTGAAAGGAATTAGAGGGCGAGATAACTTGTTCAGAAAACCTTTGTAGAAACTAGCCCTCTTGGAAAGTAACTTCTGGATGAATGTGTTTAATTGCACATGTGTAGTCACCACAGACTGCTATCCACAGTTATGTAAGTAATAGTGACTCTCACCTTTGTTTGTGCTGCCAAAGATTATCCATTAATAACAATTGGGAAAAAAATGGCCTTCCTCTGTAGAAAATTCCCTCAAATAGTTAGCTCAGTTGGAATAAGTCACAGTTTAAATTTGACTCATTTCATGCTGGTTTGCTTTCATGTTGTTACTATAATACTGGCAATATATTTGTTTAGCAATGAGTTTCAGTTTAAAAATTGCTTGCCAGACTTCCTGACTTGTAGCCTACCTGCTTTCAAGACAATTTCTCCATGCCTTGCATCCATATTCAGTCCCCCGACCTTCCTCCTGTTTCTGCCTTGTCCTCACTTCCTCTTCAACTCCATCCTGACCCCAACCCCATTCCCATGCTCTTCTTATTTTTACAGTGTCCATTTCTGCCCTGGCTGCCATTCTGAATTGGTTGGTACAGATAGTTCTGCCTGCACTGACTAACCTCTATCCTAGATGGGGGCTGGTCAATTAAAACCTTAGCATGTAAGTTTAATTTTAACATTTGTCACAGCTCTTGTGGCACAGTGGTAGGATTCCTATCTCTGAGCCAGGAGACCTGAAGTTTCACCTGCTCCAGAGGTGTGTAATAACATTTCTAAACAGGTTGGTTTAAAGTGCATTATGATCACATTTTTATTTCTTGTGTATATAATTTATTTATTTTAAAGGTTATTTTTTATTAATGTAGGGTATTTAGGAAAGCAGTACACCATTTCATTTTAATGTGGTTTATTTTCTGCTGAATAAGATCCTGAAATACCCAACTGCACTGTTGTTTTTTCAATATTTAGCGATAACTTTAGTTTGCAACTTATTTTATCTAGGAACACATAGCACTGCACATATACGGTAAAGTATTCAACTCATTCATTCATTGTTTTCCTAACAAAAAAAAAGTCTACAGGAGCCTACTTTGCGTTTTAACATTAATTCCTATGGGAAACCATGTCTCACTTAAAGCTGAGACAACAAGGTGCAGGGCTGGCTGCACCTTGTTGTCTCGGATTCTCCAGCATCTGCAGTTCCTACTATCTCACTTAAAGCTGTTTCACTTCCAGCCACGACTTTCAGGAAGGGAGCTATAACTTTAAATACAGACTCGCTGTACCCCACAGGAGTAATTTCCACAGCCTCAACACATTGCTTAATTATTGTTATTTCATTTTAATATTTTTGTTTCTTTTCTCTGTTCTTTTTCTCCCACCCTCCCCCTTTAGCTTGCAAGCGTAAAGAACAGGAGCAAAACCGAGACCGAGCCACCACTCCCAAAAAGCAGCGGCTTGTCTTCACTGATCTCCAGCGCCGCACACTGATTGCCATATTCAAGGAAAACAAACGGCCATCCAAAGAAATGCAGGTCACCATTTCCCAACAGCTGGGGCTGGAGCTCAACACAGTCAGCAACTTCTTCATGAACGCCCGCAGACGAAGCATGGACAGATGGGTGGATGAACCGTCTACCACCACCGGGCCACCAGCGTCAGCTGCAAGCACTTTTACAAAAGCGTGACAGAGGGGATAGTGGGCAAGCAAGCGTGCCTGCTACTACACTCTGAAATTAAGACAAAAAAAAACAAAACATAAAAAAAGGCTTTAAACCAAATAAAAACACAATTTTTAAAAATAAATAAATTCCAAAGAAAATCAAATCGGAGACACGTGTACACCTTGCTCCACGGCAGGGTTATAAAGGAGCTGGTCGGGAGATAAGTTGCACTGTGTCGCTGGCTGTTGATGCGGGTCTGGAAGCACATAAAAAGTACATATTCGGGTAATTTTCATGACAAATTCTCGCACTATAAAGGTCATTGTAGGATAGCCTGTATGAGGAAATGACCTAGTCATAGACTAAATATATTTAAAAAAAGTGTTTGTTGATATTTAAGTCTGGATGGAATTTGTTTCCTAAATGTCTCTGTTACCAAAGAAGATAAAAGACACAAACTTTTTCAACAAGGATTGGAATCCCAAAGCAACTCTTTCTCCCCACTCCCTTCCCCCTCGGCCCTCAAAACCCCCCAAAAAATAAAGATCGAAAATGATTTGTCACTCAATGGCTAGTTGCAGAAACGAAGAGAGAGAGAGGAAAACTTGTGCCAATAGCAACAGCTGCCTTAATGATAATCACATTGCGATGGTACGACATGACTTGTTGTTGCAATACCTACAAGATGACTTGTGCCATATACTATACCAAAAACAGAGAATTTTCCACGAAAAACAAAATCTTTTTTTAAATGTCTCGTGCTACTTCGTGAGGCATAACATCACTGGATACTGAATTTTAAAAAAATGCGGGTAGAGTACCATCTAATGATAAAGGTTCTTTTTCAATGAACTAATTCGCTTTGCTGTGGAAGTTAGGCACCTTGATGAAGACGAAATTAGTATACTGAGAAAAAAAAAACAACTTACCAGATTCACAAAAGAAAAGAACCAAAAATAACCAAACTTTTGGTATGTAAGAGTAATAACATTATGATGAATAGTACATTGTTAAAAATGAATATTAAGGTACTATTGAAGAGGCACAGATGGAATGTCTGATCGGTATTTCGCTAAAACTCCTCTAATGTTGTTTCTGTCTTGTTGTGATGTGGTAAAGCTTGATTCTTTAACCAAATCTAGTAGTATTAAGTGGGAAGCAAACAAAAAAAAGGCTTCCAGTTGTGAACTTTGTAGAGACATTTATAGTGAGAACCAAAAAGGCTACCTCACTGAATTTCAATTGTGATTTTAAAATCACGTCTGATACCAAAGATTTCCTTGCACGATCTGCGTTTTGTAACTTCTCCCGCACTCAACCTCTCAGCCCTGTAAATCGCAAACACACCCTGATAACAAAATTCATTAAACCTTTTACAGTGATGCAGGAGACTACTAGTAGAGAGTGACCACAAGACGAGTGCCTTGCTTGACCAAAGCGATGACTATTTATAGATCTCTGTGCTTTGAAACTTGTGTAAACCTCAGTTTTAGAAGCAGAGTTTTCTGCTGAGCCTTTCACCATCCTACCTACGTTGTGGAGTTACAGGGGCACATCTAATCTTACTGAGACAACTGAGTACAGTGGGCAACTGCCCTTGAATTTAATCTAACAGGCCGAGTGTCAAGTTATGTTGCCAAAATCTGCCCCAGAAGAATGCATTGATTGCCTAAATAATAGTTATTGCCCCTGATGATGATATTAGTGCACATGTTTTGCTTTTTATAAAAACAAAACAGAAGCTTCTGAGTCTGGGAAGATTCTTAAATGGCAATCTATTCAAAATGTAATTGATACTTGCATAATTGCAAAAGGCATAGTGTGAACTTTTTGTTTTATATATGTATTTATGTATTTATTTAATTTATGAATTTTACTCATCTACATTTTTAAACATTATGCTTTAAATTATACATTCATAGCAGAGGCTTAACCTGGTATATATAGGGGATGACATTAAGGGCAATTCTGTGATTTGGAACGGAGAAAGAGAGGAACATACCTAGGTCTTAAAAGAATTTGGAAATGAGGAGGTATCCTCTCATTTACCCCATACATCTTACATCCTCGATTGTGACCATGATTCATCAGTTTATAAGCAAAAGGGGGGTATATAGAACCAAAAACTCCTTCGGGATTAGGATCATGTAAATTATGTAAATAATCAAAGATTCAGGTTAAGCAAAGAGTTACATACTTTTTTTCTGAGAAATCCCACTGAATCCATTAGCTTAGGACATTTGTAGAGGAGCTCAGTGAAATGAATCTATCTCCTGGATGATGACAAACTGGAGAAAAAAAAGTCTTTCTCTGTCCATTGAACCATTCCTTGTTGCGATTCTCTTCTGTATATTCCTACAAACTGAATACTGTTGCTTAGGTTATATATTTCAGTGTGTAAGATGTAAATGATCTGTAGCTACATTTTGTATCTTTCGCTGTCCAACCATAACAATATCTAGGTCATTTTGGGATTAAACATACTTTCTATATTGCGTGTATGAAAATAAAATAATTCACAAATGAATTTAGTCTCAGCAAGGATTATGTTCTGATGAATCATTGCTGAAGAGTTGCTCATCACCTTATAGATTCCAGATAAACACTTCAGTCCAGAGGGATACACCATTCTAAGCGCAGAGAGAATCACCCTGTCCAAAATACAAAAGCCAGGAAAAGTAGAAGGAAATCTGCAGCATATTATATTGCCTAGAGTATAAGTACATCATACAATGTCTCTATCTGTAATGTGTCCTAACCCAAGGCTGACTTAATAATGCACTCATGGCTTAACTCAATTATGAGTTAGTAATTTTTTCTCATTTGTGGAAAATTTTCATGTTCTATTGAATGTCCTCTCTATATTTTGTATTAATTTAATAACATGACAGATTACTTTCTGTGCTGTAATACTAATAGTTCAATGACAATCCTCAAATAAGTAAACAGACTGAAAAGCAAGTACAATCATTTTTAGTCAACATACGATTCAAGAAACAATTGACCATTTGAGCAAGGTGAACTTTCTCATTAACCCAAATATAAACTCATTATCACTCATCTTCATCTCAACTCTGACACAGAACGTGTGCACTAACGATCTGGTAGTATGTGATTGGCTTTAAAAACAACAAACTCTTTTAAGAATATACCAAAGTTCCCATTGTTGCGGGTGGGCCTGTGACACAGACCGTGCAAGCTTTTGACAATTTCTCAGAAATACCTCAACTATTAATGTATAGTTTATGTGATAAAATACTAGCTAGTTTTGGAAATTGTGACTTGAAGCTTTATACTGTTAAATTATAATTTTGCAGAAGGTGGCATGTATACTTTGATGCGTTCATGGAAGACATATGAATGTTATGGCAATGAATTAGAAAGCTGATGCTGGTTGATAAAGGACCCCGGAGTTTACACTTTTCATACTTTTACAGTCCTTTGAGGTAATTTTATGTTCAGATGTGTTTCTTTCAGAGTCATGTCTTAATACAGTATTTATAAGTGTTATGTGTTCAGCTATAACTAAAAAACAGATAAACTAAACTTATGATTTATGCATGAATATGTACTCTTTATAGAGCTAATGTATGGTTAGTATTGGAAAATGATTGATTTTAATACCAAATTTCATTTTGAATAGGAGTTATGCATGGAAACTGTTATTTGTTGCATATTGTGGAAGAATTTTGTATATATTGTGTTGTGATGACACTCTGACCTGATTTGAAAAGCTGAGGTGCTGAGTTTGTGCATTAACTGCAGGTGGTGTTGGCTGTGCCTATGGTCAAATGTAAAGGGATAACGCAAACCTGGTTATTCTTGTAACTGCGCAGGGCCAGCTGTACAGTGCAGATAGGAGGATAGCAAGTGAGGAAAAAAAAGTCCATGATTCCGTGTTAAAACTTAAAAAAAAAGAAAAACAAAGCTTGAACAAATAGTGATCTTGACAATACAGTCTAGACAAAACATTAAATAAAATCCCTTTTAGTCAAATTTTTCAAAGTAGTTGCTTTTTATCTCATGGAGATATACATTGAACCAAGTGTCTTTTGTGTTACTAAAGAGACAATCAGCATAGACATTGTAGAAGTGTTTTCAGACTAGCAATTTCTCCGTGTCAAGCTTGTATGTTAAAAAAAAATCACAATTTTAGTTTGTAACTGGAGTTGGCATTCTGATTTTGTTAAGCTAATACACAAAGATTTTACATCTTTTATGTCACCATGTCCAGAAGACAGACTTTCCAAAGTTTAATCTTCAGCAAATGCTTTCGTAGTTCAGCAGGTTAAGACAGCTACAGGAAAAGAGAAAATAGGCTTGCAATATTTCCTCAGACTCAAGTAGTCTGGTTTTGTTTCAAGTATTACAACTCATTAAAGCATACTGCCTCGATGAAATAGAAATGAAAGGAAATAAATTAAGTGCTGCCATCAATCAAAAACAAGAACAATGACAAGATAAACACTGGAAATGGGAGGCACTTAGTTGAAATGAATATTATTTATTTCCTCATTCTATTTACTAAAATGAGCCAGCTGGAGTTTGATAGTGTCATTTGGAGTTTGCGCAGATCATATTAATATAAATGGAAAACAGTCGTATTGATCCAAGTATTTGGTCAATGCGACTGTCTCAAGTTCTAATTCCACGCTAGCTTCATACATAAAACAATTGGAAAAACTCACTGCTAGTAACATCTATGTATATTAGTTTGCCTTCTGGTATTGAATTGTTTTATTTGAGTTCAGTGATTCTGCTTCTAGTTAATAAATTGTGTGTGGAATGATTGTTGGATAAAGGTAAATGAAGATCTAATGCTAATGAACAGATTACTCTACAGTGAAGTTAGTAAATTAATTATGCCCATGATCTATAATGTTCTGTCCATAACACAATGTGAGACAATTATCTGCTTCCTAAGACACTTTCATGTGTGTGGGGATTCAATACACCTATTCATTGTTATTTCATCTTGAGTATCATAGATGCAGCATTGTAATTTCAAAAGGACCCTGGTTTAG